TAAATGCTAACCCTAGTTCTATTTTATTTTAATTTATTAAGAAAATATTGAATTTTAACCTAAATTAACCCTAATTTTTTTATACACAATTTAATTATAAAAATAAATAAAATAAATAATATTAAATATTTGATTATCATGAAAGAAAAATAAAAAGGATGAAAATTAATTAATTAAACCCTATTTCTACATTTTTTAGATTTTTGTTATGAAAATATTAAATTAACCTAATTTACACTAAATTTAATTACATGCACATTTATTTATAAAAGTACTAGAAATAAAAATATTTATTATTTTAGTTCTTTTCTGATTTTTATGGTTTTTTATATTTATGAAAATAATAATTAAATTAACAAGCAATTTATAAAAAAAAATAAAAAAAGAAAATAAAGAAAGTTAAAAGAATTTTGCAAACCAAGGGGGGTTGTAGTCCCCAACATGGAGGTATAGTTTAAGAATTCTGGCCCATCAACTGCAAAGCCTGGTGGACTTTTTTGAATAACATGTGGCACGTTTGACCAAGCTTATGGTGTTCCTCCAATCTATGCCTTTGAATTCCTGAAACTGAACGCGTGGCATGCTGGATTTGGAAGTGTATGGTGTGCTTTGATGTTGAGCCTGCATGTGAACATTAATTGCAAAATAATATGGGAATATTGAAGACCTGGGGCTCGAACCCAGGTCATGTACTTTACCAATCCTTATGCTTGCCAGCTGAACCAATTTGCTTTTCTGTAATTAATATAACAAACAAATATAATAAAACAAATATGCATTAGCGTTTCGTTTTCCGCGCGAAATTCAAACTAGCCTATCACATCCTGCCACGATATCGTCTTCTTCTTCATCCCTGAAACACAAAAACAAAGGCCACGGTTTTCTGAGCGTTTCCTTAGGCCACATATTAGAAAATAGCGACTAGCCCTAGGGGCTTCATAAATTAGGCGCGATGGTGGCTTCTTCTTCGTCCAGACATGCTCGTGTCAATGGTGGTACTCAGGGGTTCTAATTTTTCCTCCTTCAAAAACCCCTAATTTCAAATCCTGTAAACCCTACAAAACGAACATGGTATCTTGGCATATAATGCGTAAAACTTCAATTAAAACATGTGATTAGCTTGCAAACTTTATTATAAGCACAAACATAACAATAAAACACGTTAACAATGCATGAATGTCAGAAACCGATTCAAGAATTTTCTTTACCAACTTCAATGGTGATCTTGCGTTTTCTTGAGTATGGGGCTTGGGGAATGATTCAGTTATGTTCTATAATCCTCAAAGAAGCTAATGGGAGAGGTTTGGAGGCTTGAATCGCCTTGCAAGTGTATTTTCAGAATTGAGATTTTTGGCCAAATTTTCAAGTTTGGTGAATGGTTTCTGCGCAGCTTCAATGGTCCTCTCCATTAGGTTTTCATTCAGGCTTATGTATTGAGTCAATTAGGTCAAGAAAAACCAAACAAATCAATTGCATTCATGGTTTTGAGATTTGATTTTCCATCATATTTTTTCCAATCTTTTTCATGCAATTTTGTACCAATCATGATCCAATCAATCCAAATCTTTCCATATTGAATTATGCACGAATTATTGAGTAGATTACATGTGCAAAAATATTGAAAAAGTTAGGTTAAATATTTTCCATGTATTTAATTTGATTTAAATGAATTATTATAAATAAAAATTCAAATAAATAAATAAAAAATGAAGAAATACTTCCCTTTGGGCCAAGTGGTCGTGCACATGCCATGGATGATGAATTATGGAAGAAAAATGGGTCCATTAGCAATTTTAGGTCATTTGAATCAATGTTGACTTTTCAAAATATCCAAAAATTTCCCAACTTCCACAAGGCATAACTTGCTCAATTTTTAAGCTGTTCTCATGTTCTTGGACATTTTGGAAAGGTCTTTGAGTCCTCTAACCAATTCCTTTGGTCCCATGTCATTTTGATTTACCAATCTCAAGTTATGGCCTTTGACTTAAAGTCCCTTTTTGTTGACTTTTGAAAATGACCTATAATGTTGGAATTGATAAATTTTTGTGAGAGCATTTCTTGGACTTGAAGTATGAATATGAGTTGTAGGAAATGTCTTTATCTTCAAAATGAGCTTTGGATGGAATTTTTATGATAATCCATGTGAAAGTTATGCCCTGTTCAATTTACAGTTGATTTTTTCATCTGTCCAAATAAGGAAACTTTTGCATTTTGATGATTTTTTGAGCCAAGCTTTGAGAATCATGATCAAGCATTGATCAAATGATGTTTGTGGCTTCAAAATGATATGTTGACCAAAAATTTGAACTTTTGACTATCAAATGACCATTTTGCCCCTGCAGTTGACTGTAGTGCAATTTAGGGTTTTGACTGTGCAATTTTGAGCTGAATGCCTTGAAACTTGGTATGAGGATGCTTGACCATATTTGTAGGCATATGAGACTTGATTGGACCTTTGGAAACTTCATTTTCTTGACCAGAAGCAAAACCCTAATCTTGACTGTTTAGGAGACCCTTGCACTGTGCAACCCTTGGGGAACTTTTGAAGCTTGACTTGGCAATTTTTTGAAGAATATGGGAGGGCAAATTTTGGGGTACAACAGTTGCCCCTGTTCAATCTTATTAGACCTGAGGATGCAGATTGGCTGACGTGCCTTTCGTAATCCGAGGGTGGAAGATGATTGAACACTAGAGTGCCCAGAAATTTGCGCTCACATAGTAGCAGTGTGGTGATGGGAATGGGCTTATAGATGCCATTTAGAGGTTGATGAATAGGATGATGGGCTTATAGATGCCATCTGGATGTTGATCGGGTAAGAGATTCCTTAGCGAGAACCTGCATACCTGCAAAAGAAAAATGAGTACCTGACACGTTGCAAGAACTGGTTTTCAGATGCTTAGTATAGATGTGTCCTGACTGGTTACAGGAGCTGGATCTGGAGCTTCACAAGATGATGAATGAACCAGAGATGGTTACTACCTCAGCATGAACAGAACCTTGGGTGATTTTAACTTCAACAATGCTCGTTGAGAAAATCTTGGTGGGAATTACCATCTTCACAGTATCGGGAAGAGAACCAATAGGAAATCATAACCTGAAAGGGAATTACATCTCACGCACCGTCGGGGAGAGAACCATAGGAAATTATAATCTCAAAAGGAATTATCACCTCACGCACCGTCGGGGAGGGAACCATAGGAAATTATAACCTAAAAGGGAATTACATCTCACGCACCGTCGGGGAGAGGACCAAAGGAAATTATAACCTAAAAGGGAATTACATCTCACGCACCGTCGGGGAGAGGACCAAAGGAAATTATAACCTAAAAGGGAATTACATCTCATGCACCGTCGGGGAGAGGACCATAGGAAATCATAACCTGAAAGGGAATTACATCTCACGCACCGTCGGGGAGAGAACCATAGGAAATTATAATCTCAAAGGAATTATCACCTCACGCACCGTCGGGGAGGGAACCATAGGAAATTATAACCTGAAAGGGAATTACATCTCACGCACCGTCGGGGAGAGAACCAAAGAAAATTATAATCTCAAAAGGAATTATCACCTCACGCACCGTCGGGGAGGGAACCATAGAAAATTATAATCTCAAAAGGAATTATCGCCTCACGCACCGTCGGGGAGGGAACCAATAGAAAATTATAATCTCAAAAGGAATTATCACCTCACGCACCGTCGGGGAGGGAACCATAGAAAATTATAATCTCAAAAGGAATTATCACCTCACGCACCGTCGGGGAGGGAACCAATAGAAAATTATAATCTCAAAAGGAATTATCACCTCACGCACCGTCGGGGAGGGAACCAATAGGAAATTATGACCTGAAATAACTTCTACTGAGTCTTCATCAGAAAAACCTGTTGGGAGTCGATTTAGCTGGACTAGAGAAGGCCTTGGACTGGATAAGAAATCTTTGGAATCGATTAACTGACCCGGTCTAGGTTTTGAAATATGATTGAGAATTTAACTGCATCTTTCTTGAAAGGTAGAGGTCAGTCATATGCAATGCATGATATGGATCAAGCGATGATGTTCTCAACATAAATGAGATTTGTATGATATGATGCGTCTATGCATGCTATAATGATGTATGTGATGTTTTATGAATGTATGTTTTCGTCTAGGAAAGTAAATCCTTGACGGATGCCGGGAAGTCACTCCTGGGCTGATGTTGAAGAAAACTTTTGCTTCCGCTAGGGACACTACAAGAAAAATGATAGATTGGGACGGTTATTTTGGCTGATTACGACGGTTAAAACCGTCGCAATTTACAATCTACGACGGTAGAAGTACCGTCGCAGAATCGTGCGTCCCCAGCCTATTTCGCGACGGTTGCAAAAACTGTCACGCACAACAGATGGCGACGGTTATATACCGTCGTGAATTTGACTTTATTTTTTGTTTTTGTTGTTGTTTGCGACGGTTATATACCGTCGTGAATTTGACTTTATTTTTTGTTGTTGTTGTTTGCGACGGTTATATACCGTCGTGAATTTGACTTTAACCGTCGTAATCTGATTTATAAATTTCAAATAATATTTTTATTTAAATTATTATTTAGTAAAATAATTTTAAATATAATATTATTTTACTATAATATTTTACTATTATATTTAAATTATTATTTACTTTAATATTTTTTTATTTATAGTATTTTTATTTTATTTTCTATCACTTTTCAACATTGTTTTGAAATGAGCAATCCAATTGTTTTGAAATATTTACTAACTCAGTATTATTAATTCAGTTGGGAAACCATTTGTAAAATAATGCAAGGAGACATTGCTTTTGCTATTGAAGCGTGAGATTTCCGTGAGATACCAGTACTTATTATTGGGAGAAAAGATTTATGAATTATTGCACATTGTAATATGCTTATACCACCTTATAACTTTGCTACAAGTTACCTATAACAAGTGAGATTTTCCGATTTTCAGGAACTATAACAAAAAGAGGTTAGCTCCGAAATCTCTTGATCATTTTGCAATCTTTGCAGCCATTTCTCTGACCAACTTAGCAGCTACCATAGCAGTCATTCCATCAACAGTATCGCGTTGTGGGTTGAGTTCAACGACGTCTCCAGCAACAACATCACCTTGAAGATTGTGTAGGATGTTAAGAACATCGCGGAAAGAAAGACCTCCCGGTTCAATATGAAACACTCCCGGAGCAAATGCAGGATCAAGACAATCCACGTCTATCGAGATATACACCCCTTTCACACCTTCCCCTAGTTTCTGCACAAGGAAATCACCAAGGTTTAAAAAGAACATACAAATGCACAAGTTAGTATCAATACATGCACACTCGGCATCAAGGGCACTTGTAGCTTCATCAAGAAGTAATATTTTTGGATCTTTCAAAATTGCTCTTCCAATTGACATCAGAAGTTCTTCCAGCTGTTAAGGATCCAACTAATGCACATACATTTAAGATTCCTGCTAGAATTTCTTGTTGTGTGTCCTGCTAGAATTTCTTGTTGTGTGTCATTGATATAGTTAATGTCATACAAAAATCCGTCAAGTCAAGTCACCTGTTCTTCATGCTGAATATAAGGCACCAAATATAATTGTGTTGCACTTCCATATTCAAGGCAAAATTCCTCGTTTGTTTGAATACCACACTCTGCAGAACTGGCAACGTAAGGTTTGTCCAGGGCAAGCATGCATCCTACTCTGTAACCCACCAAAATGGTGAATGTTACCACACATATAAGAAAAGAATTACTCATCTTCATAAGTTTGACAATGTGAGAATTACCTGAAAAGATTGGCAAGGAGAACCTGCTCGCTCCATAAGAAGAAATTTAATGCAACACCATCACCATCAACAAGAGTAATTTGTTTTCTTTGCGAGGTCCCAAAATTCCCTCGAATTTCCGCAGATTCAATATTTTCAATCCTGTAATCAATAAAAAAACTAGTGAGGGCATGCTTCCTTGTAAAAGGGAAAAATACCATTACTCAAGGTTATGGATCATGTTGACAAATGCATATATAGAGGAACATAGACGAACTAGTAAATGATTTAAACCTCATAGTTACACTTAGGTATCTTTATAAACAGCAAAATGGTGCCTGAAATAATTTTAATGACACAACTCTCAGTAAATTTACAACATGCTCAACAACAAACTTATGCAGCAAACAGAACATCCATTGCAAATAGTTTACCTGGCATAAAGTGAATAAGAAGCCCCATTGTTTACTGCCTCCAGCGAAATTGAAGAGAAGGAGTCTGAACAAAACTGAGCTCCTAGCAGCATTGCATCATCATCCCGATTCTACAATTTTAAAGAAAACAACCGGCTTTTCTTTAGTTGTATTGTGCAGTAAAAGTTAGTTTCCAGAAGCACGGGCTAGGCTCTGAACTTGAACTACTAGCATATGAAACGCTCAAATTTTAAGACCAAAATACAACTAAAGAAAATGATAGTTACCTCGTCTAATAGAATCACGAGATACTCTGTCTAAATCATTACAGTTCAATTAACAGAGTAACTCTGTAGTTTACATTTCAAATAACAAACATTACACATTCCCATTTATGTTTTTGACAGCTATTCGACAGCTATTCGACAGCTAAACCCTTCAAAGCAATATTATAAGGTACATGTTCTTCTTTGGCAATAGAAGAAAAGTAGTTCATTAACTAAACAAGAAAATCACAATAAATTGAAACCTGTATTTAGACTTGAAATTAGTTTTTTTAACACAGATTATCATGCAACCAAGTTTGGCTTCTCTAAATGAAGTGATAAATATGCTTGAGAGAAAATTACAAAACCATAACCATTTATTAGAAAATAGATGCTCGAGATTAAGATGAAATACATGCACATGCAGTAACACATTTTCAATCTCTGTTAATAATAATGCATGAACTATTCGAAATACAGGTTATTAAAGCACTGCTTACGGAACCTATCCTCCTGCATATCCTGCACAGGTGAAAAGATGTTTCAGCTATAGTTGTAGTGATTATTTGTCCCCTGATATATTTCTGCTCTACAGTTCTTGTGTCGGTGTTAATTACAATTCTTTTCAGGATGCTACTGGTCACGAGTTTGCAACTCGTTTGGGCAATGTGTTTACTATCGGTAAGGGTACTAAGCCATGGGTATCTCTTCCCAAGGGTAAGGGTATTAAGCTAACCGTTATCGAAGAAGCTAGGAAAAGGGCTGCTGCAGCTCAACAAGCAGTTGCTGCTTAAATCTCTTCTGCATGAATTTATAATAGACTCGAGTGTTTGGTAGTTTTATTGACGCTATTGGTTTCTTTTGCATTTTGTCTGAGATTTTATCTATTGAATTTTGACTTGTTGCTCTATGCAACTTTTGTTGTGTCTGCTGCTATATTTATTCTTGAAGGAATCTTTTCACTCCGTAGTTTTGAATCATTTTGATAGTACATAATCTCTATAGCCAATTTGCTAGTGCAAACCATATACCTGTGATACTGAATGATTATGGTAAACTTGGTAGTATCATAATAATATTCAGTTGGGTCCAGTTTTATTGATAGAATAAGAAGAGAGTACTAACTAATTTTATAATTATAAATAGACAACATGTTTATTTATTGAAGTCTATAGACATGTTTGTCTAAAACAATATTATGTAGTTGAAAAATAGAAAAGTTGTTTTGAATTATCAAACAGTCTCAATTTGTTTTTCACTGCCTTACGTCCCAAATATTGACATGGATGGTTGCAATTCAGTTCAGATCTCTATGGTTCTTGGAACTACATTTACATTAAATAAATAGATAGATGGTTGGGAGTTTGAGGCATATGACAGTCGCAATGCCAAACTTAATGTATGTTGTCAGCCTCATTGGTAGGTTTATCGAATAACAAATTGAACTCCATCATCAAGTAGTAAAAAAATAATGCTTTCTTGACTTTCTAAGCCTTACATAATCTGAAACTAAGACTTCTAACATGACAATTCATTTGAAACGGATGGAGTTACCAGAGTTTAACTGCCTACCGCCGCCGCTGGGGATGGCAGCTGGCCAGACAGTGTATGAGCATTGGTTAACGATGTCAAATCTCGCTGCCTGTGCAGATATCAAGCACAGACTAAATAGAGAAAATACTGATATTTTTATGAGAGACATTTTTCTGGGAGTGAATTAAACAATTAATAATAAGGATGAGAAGAGAGTATTTTGTGAGTAGAATGTGGGAATTGAGGCAAGTTTATATAGGCCACAAACGTGACCTTAATTATTATGATACTCAAGTGCCGTATGTGGAAAATTATTTAAACTAAAAAGTCTAGTTTTTCATGCTCTTTCAAAATTGCAAATAATGACTCACACGCCGTGTCTATTACTATATATCAAAGTTAGTCTTGATGACATAAAACAAGCATGAGTATAATACAGTTAACTAGCCATTAACTATAAACACTGAAAATGAAATTCTCACCTTAGCAATAGACTTTGAGCAGCCAAAGAAGCAGCGGAATATTTCACCTCTGCAATAACAGCAGGGGTTGCAAGGGAGTTAAAATCTAGACAGGTATGTTATATTAAGATGCATCAAACTATAAACTTTTTATACACGTGAATAAAACAGAAAACAGTTGAAGAATCATTTATGTTGACATGATCCTGCAACTCAGAAAACAGAAGACAAAGGGAGTCGAGAAGAAAACTTGCAGCTGACGAAGAATATCAAGTGTAGAATATCATCTTTGCATATCTTTGAAACTCCGTCCAAGGTAGTGGAACGTTGAACCAATCAGGTCAAATGGCACCAAGATGGAAAGGAAAAGATGCAAAATCGAAAAAGGATGCAGAGGCTGAGGCACTTAAAGAACCCATGTCAAAGATTGTATCGCAACTTCAGTCTTCTTTAGTTCAATCAAATGCTTGTGGATCTCTCTCTGATAGTTCTGTCCACATAGCAGTGCAAGCTGAACAACTTGACCTGCTTGATAAAGCATACTTTGGTCAACCTGTGAGAAATGTTGCAAAAGACATGTACTGGTTTCAATTAACCTTGGAGGAAGCATTCTACCTATGTTATTCCTTGAAATGCCTCAAGATTAATCGTGGTGCTGATACTAGTCCCTTGAATGATGAAGAGTTGTGGCATTGCTTCAACTCCAAGAAACAAGCATTCTCTTTTTACTACAAGGCTTATTCTCACCTTCGAATGAAAAACTGGGTTGTAAGGTCAGGGGCTCAGTATGGTGTAGACTTCATTGTCTATCGTCATCATCCTGCACGGGTCCATTCTGAGTATGGTGTACTTGTTCGATCACAGGATAATGATGATGATGATGTAAATGGAAGATTGAGAGTATGGTCTGATGTTCAATGCACTACTCGACTTCTTGGAAGTGTTGCAAAAACCTTATTAGTTTTGTATGTTAACAAAAATGGTCACAGTGACGGGTCTCCGTTATATTTGGAAAACTATGCTGTTGAAGAGCGCACGATCTCTAGATGGAGTCCTGAACAATGTCGTGAAAGATCCTTATAGATATTTCTTCTTATTAGTAGTACTATTATTCCAGTTCTACATCATTTAATAACGGGAAGTCGTAATAAAAAAACGGTGCCTGATGAGAGAATCGGAACATCTCCTCTTTAGGAATCCTCTTAACCTCATTCTGGTCCTGGTGCCTTTGAAATACTGTCCTAAAGCCAGGAAACTTAACAAGGGGAGTGACTGATATATCAATATTATTATTACAATTGCAAAACGACTACTATCCCATTTGGATCAGTATATGGTCCTCTTATATCAGTTTTATGCCTAAAACAACAAATTAGAAAACCTAAAAAATCATAAAAAGAAATAAAACCCTAAAATAACAAATTAGAAAACCTAACATCAATTCAATATATTCAAACTCAAAATCAATCATCACAAAGAGCTCAACCATAAGATTCAAGTGAATCTCCAATGCTGAAATCAATGGCAGAGAATGAGAGAGATGAGAACAATGCAAAAAGTGATACATAAAACTTACTGTGTTTGAAGAGATGAACGCAGAGGATGTAGTTTCCATTGCTGTGCGTTTTTTGGTGTGAAGATGAGCGATTTGAAGAGATTCCGGGTTTCTTTCGGTGTGAAGAAGAACGCAGAGGATGTAGTTTGAGTTTGCACTATAAATCATTATAATTAATTCATTTCTATTATAATGAGAATATTTTTTCATTCAACTTTGTGCAAATGCATTTTTGTGGAATATTTTTAATCTTGAAAAGAAATAAAAGTGAAGAATAATGAACTCATAAATTTTCAATTTTTTAATTTCTTTTAGTTCTAAGATCTTTTTTAGTACTAGACATTAGATAATATATTTTAGGATTCATAATTTGTAAATCTAAATTTTAATTTCATGTTATATTTGAATGTGTTAATGATGGATATAAAATCAAATTTATATAAATCTCAAAAAAAAATTGTTTTACCGCGACGGGTGTTTTACCGTCGTGCCCATGAGAATTTTTAAAGGTTTTGGGTGCGACGGTTGTTTTACCGTCGTGAAATGAATTTTAGGACGGATAATTTTACCGTCGTGAAAGATTTAAGGGTGCGACGGGTGCTTTACCGTCGTGATATGCCTTTTAGGACGGTTAATTTTACCGTCGTGACTAGTTGTTGGTGAAAAATCAATGTTAAAAGTGTTAAATGGGGGCCGACGGTTGTTTTACCGTCGTAATAATAATATTATGATGGTTAAATATACCGTCGCAAAATAAATATTAGGGACGGTTGGTGTCAACTGTCGTAAACACTGTCTCTATATGTCAATTACGACAGTTATCACATAACTGTCGCAATTTTTGTGTCGTTAAACACTAATTTTCTTGTAGTGGGATGATAACTGCAAGAATACCGGTAGGAGAAGATGACTCCGTTGAGGAATAAACTTGGCCAATGGAATATTCTGCGGGGAGAAAAATACTCTAGCGACCATGCTGGGGAGTGATACTCTGTGGGGAGAGAGATGCTTTGCTGAGTTGTTGACAATTACTTGCTGGGGATATCCTTGTTGTATTGGAAGTGTGAATAGACTTCGCTGGGGATAAGAAAGAACTGTATTGACGATGAACTTTCCGTGGCTTTTGGTTGAGGATAACCCAGTTATATCCTGTTAAGGAAATAACTCTTTAAATAAAGCCGGACGACGCGTTCGTGTCTGCGAGGATAAGCTTCCAGAATTTACTGGGGATAAGCTTACTGCTTGGGGGTATGAATCCCAATTTTCCTGGGGAAACTGGATTAGATTCTCCTGGGGAAACTTTTTGAATTGCGGGGGAAGTGATTCCTTTGAATGTCTGGTATGCCGCCGGGGAACAATCTTTAGACCAAGACTGCCGGGGATACTTGTTAAGAATATGTATACTGCTGCTGGGGAAGTATTGAGATCTGATAACTCTGCTTGGAGAAGAGTGCACTGACTGCTGACTCTCTGGGGAATTGAGATGTACTGGTTATGTTCTTTAGCTGAACCTATCTTTGTACCTTGGAAGCCAGAACAATTAGATTGCTTAGACAACTCTTTATTGCCCCTGTTTCTAGTGTCACCTGTAATTAATCCTTTGTTTCGTATGCAGATATTTATGAGTTAGCAAATTATTGTCAATGCATATATCACAAATTGAACCTTGGACGTTCTTCGC